GCATCTATGATTAATTTTAAAGAAGAGGGAAGGTTAAACGACATGTGATTTTCATGGTCTGGCTGAGTGTATTTGAACAATACAGATAAGTTTCTTTGGGGGGAGAAAAAGTCCAAATAAGGATGTAACCAACTTTCTTCTGAAAAGTAACATGTATTTAATGTTTAAAGTGTATTTATTGAAAACTTGGTGGTGTATTCCATATAATTTCTGGGTAATAATGACATGAACCTTGAACTTGTATAGGTATAAATCTTCCCCATATTCTTGTAACTACTTTACAGAGTATTTATTGATAAATTTTTGTGAATTGTTTTAAACCTCCACCACTTTCCTTAAACCGCCAGACTTACTCTGCCAATTCTCTACCTTTTTTTTCTTTTAAATCGAGGTCAAGGCCATCCATATGTGAACTGCTCACTTCACATTTCTCTCATCTTTTTGGTTTGAAAAGAAGAGATGTTCCTTCCCTTTTCCAAAACTTAACTCTTTTTCTTGTTCCTGTTTGTTCCTATCTTCCCCAAAGTTTTTACTGTTTGTTTGGTTTTTTTTGTTGTTTTGTTTTGTTAAGGCAGAGTCTTGCTCTGTCATCCAGGCTAGAGTGCAGTGACACAACCTGGTCTCACTGCAACCTCTGTCTCCTGGGCTCAAGCCAACCTCCTGCCTCAGCCTCCTGAGTAGCTGGGACTACAGGGGCATGCCATCCTACCTAGCTAAGTTTTGTATATTGTGTAGAGATGGGTTTCACTATGTTGCCTAGGCTGGTCTCCATCTCCTGGGCTAGAGCTATCCACCTGCCTCCCAAAATGCTAGGATTACAGATAGGAGCTACCACACCTGTCCTTAAAGTAATTACTCTTTAAAAAGGAATTTGTACTCACTGCCTTTCCAGTCTCTTGCTCTCCTCCTCTTATTCTCATTATGTTATAGAATTGCCAATCCCTTGACCATATTCACCATTTAGCTCTTTTGCTTATTTAAAAAAAATTTACTACATCCTTTTCTTGAAACTTCTGTTGCCCTGGGTAAATCTACTTCCTATTTTTCTTCCTGTGATTTTTTTTTTTTTTTTTTTGAGACGGAGTCTCACTCTGTCGCCCAGGCTGGAGTGCAGTGGCTGGATCTCAGTTCACTGCAAGCTCCGCCTCCCGGGTTTACGCCATTCTCCCGCCTCAGCCTCCCGAGTAGCTGGGACTACAGGCGCCCGCCACCTCGCCCGGCTAGTTTTTTGTATTTTTTTAGTAGAGACGGGGTTTCACCATGTTAGCCAGGATGGTCTCGATCTCCTGACCTCGTGATCCGCCTGTCTCGGCCTCCCAAAGTGCTGGGATTACAGGCTTGAGCCACTGCACCCGGCCCTTCCTGTGATTTTTGACTCCTTTTTCTTTGTCTAGCCTTTAAACATAGGCATTCCTCCAAAGGTTTTGTTCTTGGTTGTCTTTAATAATGCTTTACTTGTTTTCCCTTGGTCAGTGCTTTATTCTTGAGGCTCCAATGTACTTAGATTGAAAGCTACTGATCTAGACCCTTATAGTAATGTGACTCCTTGGCTGTCTATGATGGAGATGCTGTGATGGTTAATTTTATGTTTCAGCTTGACTAGGCCGTGGGGGGTGTCCAGATATCTGATCAGACATTATTCTGGGTATGTCTGTGAGTGTGTTTTTGGGTCAGATTAATGTTTGAATTGGTCAGCTGGATAAAGCAAATTCCCTGCTTAATGTGGGTGAGCCTCATCCGATTAGTTGAAGAATGACCCTCCCAAAAGTAAAGGGGAAACTCCTCCTGCCTGACTGCCTTCAAGCTGGAACATCGATTTTTTTCCTGCCTTTGGACTAAAATGGAAGCATTGGCCCTTCCTGGGTTTTGCAACTACACCATTGCTCTCCTTTGTCTCCAGCTTGCCAACTGCAGATCTGGAGACTTGTCAGCTCATAATTGCATAAGCCTTTCCATATATATGAAAATAAAGAGATGTCCCAGTTCTGTGCCTCACAGATACGGGCCCTTATGTCTCCCTTAGCTTCCCAGAGAGACTGTTTCCTCTTAATGCACCTTGACCCAAAGACTGCTGTCTGAGAATTTGCTCTCTCAGTGATCCTGATGGATGCTGACAGCAGTTAACAGAGAGAGAGAGACAGAGTTCCCTGTAAAAAATTACAGAAATTGGATGATCCCTAAATCTTTGTCTCTAGCTCTGGAATAGAATATTTCTGGAGTAGAACATTTCTAGACGATGACCTATCATCTACATGGGTTTTCTAACACCCTAACACTTTGTATCTTCCCGTACAAACTTCTTTCTTTGTTCCATGTATTGGCTAATGCATTGGCAGTGTTTTCTTATTGATTATCATATATCTCTTTCATTTGTTAAAAAGTGTGTATGGTTATGCAATCTGAGGACTGCACACATTAATCATTTGTAGACTTCACCATTAAAGAACTTGGGCTAGAAAGGGGAGACAAGATGTGAATGTGTGTAAATGCAGTACAAAATAGAAAGTCTTGAGTGCCACAGAAGAAAAGTCTGTGCAAGATCAATGGAGAAAAGAGATAATTTGATGCTTTGGTTTGTTTGTGTGGAGTTTGGAGGTGGGGTGGGAGTATGGGTTAAGGGAATATGTGTAAAATATATGTATTTTTTATTCCAGAGGGAGCAGAGGGAAAAATCCAAAACTGTTAATGTTAATGTTTGAGGTGAAATATTGGCAGCCTAGCTATTTTTTACCCTTTACAGACAAAACATTTGAGTTAACTTTCTGGATTCTATTATTACCTTGATATGTGACTAGATAATTATTATATTTAGTTTTTGTTAATTCAAACTCATAACTTGAATAAAAGGAAGGACCTAATTCATGAGAGACACAGCAAAAAATACAACAATTATTATTTTTTTAAAATCTTAAAATGCCACCTAAGGAGATTCAGAATCTGTTTTTAAAATAAGTAAAACATGAAGAACAGTTCTTCAGGGAAAGATGATTCTTAGGTGCAGCAAAGCTTTAGGTTTTCCCAGCACTGCTCCCACAAAGGTCACAATGTTGTTTTTCACATTGTGTTTCTAGGGATTTTTAAGGATATTCTTTTGAGAGGCAGATTAGCATGGTGATTAAGCATGTGACATTGAAGCCAGACTGCCTGGGTTGAAATTCACACTCTGCCTGTATTATCTGTATGACCTTGTGAGTTAATTAACTTATCTGTGCCTCATTTTTTTCATAAAATGGGAGTAATAATAGTTCCCACCTAATAGAGCTTTTTTTGATAAATAAGTTTGTAAATGAATGAGTGCCCCTAGATATATTTATATTATATATATTAAGTATATATTATATATACATACGTATTTTATATATATATATATTGTGTGTGTGTGTGTGTGTGTATATATATATATATTTTTTTTGAGATGGAGTCTCGGTTTTGTTGCCCAGGCTGGAGTGCAATGGCGCGATCTCAGCTCACCGTAACCTCCGCCTCCTGGGTTCAAGCGATTCTCCTGCCTCTGCCTCCCAAGTAGCTGGGATTATAGGCATGGCATGTGCACACCAGGCCTGGGTTATTTTGCATTTTTAGTAGAGACAGGCTTTCTCCATGCTGCGTCAGGCTGGTCTGGAACTCTAACTCAGGTGACTGTCCGGCCTCAGGCCTCCCAACAATCTGGGCTTACAGGAATGAGCCACCAACTCCTGGGGCCCAGAAATGTAGTATATTTAAAATATAAATTTAAATAATGTAAACAATAGTATATTTTTTATTTTTTAGTTTTAGATGTTTTTGTTTTGTTGGTTTGGTTTTTTTTTTTTTTCTTTTTTTTTGTGTTTTTTTTGAGACAGGGTCTCATTCTGCCACCCAGGCGTGGAGTGTAAGAGAATGCGGGAGTCAGCTTTACGTGCAGCCTCAGAACTCCCAGGAGTCTCAAATGGATTTTCTCCCACTTCAGGCCTCCCTAGGTAGCTGGGACTAGAAGGCACATGCACCACACCCAGCTATTTTTTGAAGAAACTTTTAGAAGAGCAACCAGGGTCCTCAACTATGATGCCCAGGCTGGTCAAGGACGCTGGTTGCTAAGTGATCCCTCCTGCCTTGGCTTCCCAAAGTGCTGGCATTATAGTGTGAAGCCATTGTGCCCAGCCTAGAAAAAGGCTGGATTTTATAGAATCAAAATACTAATGAAAATGACTGGCTACTCTTTTCGGAAGGTT